GGTGGTGTTACCCACCGTCGGGGCCCGGCCCGTGGCCCCTCGCCCCACGGACAAGCCTCGGTACCCCCGAAACACACGCGGTCGGTGTGCCCGGCCCCGGGTGCAGGTTCAAATACACGTAGGTGCAGAGCAGGGAGAACGCTATCGATCTGGGCGATTATTTAGGGAAAGGTGCTGTTCCCGACCCCCGCCGGTTGCTGCGAGGGGATGCTCTGCCCGCGCCCCGGGAAGGGCACCGCTGCCCGCGCAGGCAGCACGTGGCCCTGAGTTATCAATTAGGGCAGGGACACATTTTAATCAGGCAGGGCGGCTCGCAGCGCCCTGAGTTTCAGAGCTGAGATCTTTATTAGTTACATGTATGAGCGAATATAGTCGCTCACCTTTTTTTTTTTTTTTTCTCCCCTCTTCCCCGGGCGCCAGACCGAGGGCTCCGTAAGCCCTTCCGCGCTGTAATTAATTCGTATTAGACATTTTTTTCCGTGCAATTCTTTCCTTGTGCCTGTCTTAACGCATTTTATACAATTCTTTGTCTAGATGCCGTCTCAGATACGCACGGTCAAGCTCATAGATAAAATTGTTTCGTCCTTGAAAAAGCTGCTGTCTTTAAGCAGTATTTTTGGAAAAATATTTTTGTAATTATTATTTTTAAAAACAGCTTCTGCCAGGAGAAAGTCGCACTTGTTTCCAAAAACAATTCACAGCAGATAGTGTAGATATCACTTAATTCCTACAGAAATCAATGTGAAAATTAGATTTATTGGCTACTTACATTGTTAAAAATGACAAAGTGCTGCCTTTTATTTTCATAAAAACACAGAAGACCGAAAATCATTTAATAAAGAATCCACCTAGTTTAATTTCACAGTAGGGCTCTTGCATCGAAACCAATTCTTCGAGCCTCTCCCTCACAAACTTGCCTTCCATTCTAGCATTAAGGACCCAAACAATATTCTCAGAGAGAGTTAAAATAGTAGCATTTGTTTGATGGCTGAAAAACCTTTCGCACCGTTAGCTGAGAGGGATCGTGTAAATGAAACAGGACCCGCTGTTTCAAATCGTTTGGAATACCCTAGTAACCCCAAAGGTTCCTCGATTTGTATTTATATTTTTTTTTAAGCAAAATGCCCTTTAAAAAAATATTATTTTATGTAGCGTATCGGAAAAAAAAATAGGGGAAAAAAGGAAGAAGAGAGGGAGAGGACAGCCGGCTTCCCAGCGCTCCGCAGCGGGCGAGCGGCCGAGGCGGTGCCGGCGGCGC